CCTGCTGAAAGATATACCTAGCTTTTTAACTGTAGGTGATCTTTCCTAATCTGCCTAAGCCCTTCAGTGATTTAATGATTAACTAGGAGGTAACAGTGGTGCAAGGGAAGTACCGTATACGTAATACCTGCTTTTGAAAAGCCATTTTTAACCAGCACGGTGTACTTAAAGTCCAAATAACAAGTAACTAAGAAAGGGTCGTTTTACAATTTTTTCAGCATCAACGTGAAAGAAACTCATTATGTTTATCTGGAGCAACGACTTCTTTAATTTAACAAAGTGCTAACTATAACTTTACAGCTTACTATTCTTTACAATTTGTTTGTTCATTTTAAAAGACAAAAGTAATTGCCCACTTACTGAGAAACCAACAGCTCAGGCTGTTGATTTTAGTTACGTGATTGCTGTTAGTAATCTCCTTTGCTCAGGGACATAAATGACACAAATTTTATAACTAGACATTTTGGAAAGAGATACTAGTTTCTGTTGATTTTTTTTAAATCTTGTTCCAAAATCTCACTTGGTGTTTCAGTTAGCACACTTGCCACCTTTTAGGCAGTTTTCTTGCCAAATTAGGAATTGTTTAAAAAAAACCAAAACCAACAAAACAACTAAAAACAAACAACAGTGAATATTTTGATTAAGTAGTTTTTGAACATCACCTATCACTTGAGTAATCGGGATTTAAGACTCCTGAAATTGTGCAGTTGTTGTTTTTTCACTGGACGTGCTGCCCAGATAGTAGTTTTTGTTTGATACAATTATGGATCATTTAATTCAAGAGAAGATTATTATAAACTTGGTGGGAATAATGTGAAAAAATTCTTTTGATGACAGCTGAAGAATCAAGGTAGGAAAATAGGAAACATAATTGTAACATACAGTGGGTGTAGAGATAAGCTTCTGTGACTAGAAAATGTTCTGTAACTTTGGCTTAATAGCTAGAAAGGTTCTTGGTCATGGCTGCCTGCAGAGAATGTGACTAAACCAAACTTTTCCTGGATTATTCAGAATGTACCAAGGTAGTGCAGTTTTTTGTTTGTAGTGTTTACTTGTACCTTTCTTGAATGTTGATTAAATTTCTAGTATATCTAGAAGAATGCAGATATCCTAAACTTTATTGCATCAGTCAAGTTCATGGGTCAAGTAACCAAAATGAAGTTATGTTAACTTGTTCATTAGAGTTTTCAGAGGTACCCGGCATCAATTTATCTTTTTCTTTCATGTTGAGTTCAGTCAAATGGTGTAGTAGGATCTTTACTCAGATCTCTTGCATTTAAACCAGTGTTATCTGGGAATAACAAGTAATCTTCAGAATTTGAGGAATGTAGCTGGATTGAGTCATCTGAATTAATGGATATTCAAACAATATGATTTAAGAAGTGTTCCCAGGTTAGACCTTTCCAAAGCAGTGTAATTTTTACGTTTGCTTTGAAACACAGAACACGTTCTAGCAGAATTTCTAGCAGAAGCACTGTTAGGTAATGCAGGAAGAATACCTAATCCATAAACGCACCATAGGTAGTTCTGTATGTTCTCTCTAGATAATTCTGTATAGTCTCTATACATAATATGTATATAGAATATATAACAAAATATAATGTATATTGAGTTTTGAGGGTTTTGCTTGTATGTTTCATATAGATAAGCACCATCTGTCCACACATGCCACTGTCAACAGAATTACCAAGTGGATGCGTGCAGAAATCTTGTGCATCTTTGTGTCTTCTCTTTTGACCATTCAATCCACAATCCTGTGAGAGTTAACACAAGTTACTTGTTGTGCAGTAGTTGCTTCAAGGAAAATAAATTTGGTTGATTTATTAAAATGCTAATTAGGGCAAACAAAGGCAAGAAGTTTTCTTAAGACTAGGGCAGATGGTCTGGATCTTTTCTACCCGTCTGATTTCAGTCTGCATGTGTGGGTATAAAAGAAGAAAAGCAGAGAATGAATACAGCTTTAAAAAGAATTGGTAACAGCTGCTTTGTTAAGGTAGATACCTGAGTATCTGTCAGTAACTGCCTTCTGGAGCCTTTTTCCTCAATTACGAAGGCTGACAGAATATAGAATATTAAGACTTTGGAAAGCTGACTGTTAATTAGTTAACCTCCTTCCTTCTAAAAATGTATAAGGTAAACTGCAGTGAAAAATCCAAGACAGTTATCTTTCTAACATAACTCATTTGACTTACGCTCAAGAAAGTGTTAAATCTGCTGAAGACATGCATTAGAAGAAGGCTTACATATAATATTTTGCCAGGATATGTAGCTGAGCTTTTATTACAGCATTTGAGTAAATTTATATATAGAATTCTTTTATACCCAAATAAGCCAAACCACTTCACAAGCTGGATTGCATCAACATCCTTTGAAAATATAGCCATTTCCTGAAGTGTGTGTAGCCGCTGCAGGAGCTGAAGTTGTTTATTTCTTTGAGATTAAATTTGGCTGTGAACTGTTCCAACACTTCACTGGAAAACCTTCACAGCCAGCGTGACTCTTAACTGCCTGGCGCTCACCTTGCCTTTCTCAGCCTGATTATTAACACTTGGATGGTGGACCAGCCTCCTCCTTTCAGTTACAAATTAAAAACTAGAGAGGAGCAGGTATCCAATAGTTAGGCTAACTAGCTGGATAGTTAGGATGAACCACAGCTCGAGGAAGGGAGTCCTAACCTTAGGTGAAGTCAGAGGTATTGAGGTTGCACACTAGGCTGCTGGTGAGAACTGTGCTTCTGATCTGTGCCTTTCCAACATAGCACCAACCATCTGTTAGTCATCTGTGATTTAAGAAAAAAAAAAGATGCCAATAAAATGGAAAAAGCAGAAGTGGAAACCTCTATCCTGCTCCATCCTGATGTAAAGATGAGCTGCTGGCAATACGAGAGAGCCACTTGTTCGGGTGTATCTTGGGTATACTTTGTAATCCGGATGTGCAAAACTTCCAGGTGCTGAAACAGGTCCACCCTTGGAAGGAAAGAGACTGTAGGGTTATTGAGTTATAAAAAACAAATGTTCAAACAAGGCTAAAGTTCTTGTCACATGACATATTCAGTGGTGAGGAGGTATTTATCTTCATGCAGTCAGATGCTCTGGTTGTTGGGAGCTACGTTCACTGTCACCTGCTATGGTGGTTGTACTTTTTCTCTCAAGCAATTTCATGTTTATGGAATAACACAGTTCATCTGGTCTGTAAAGTATTTGAAACTTGTCCTACCATAAGCCAACCAGAAGATTAATAATACTGTCTGAATTTTGTCATTGTTGTCACTGGCTAACTATTAGAGCAGAATTTAGGTTTTGAATCTGTCTTCTTGTAGTTTATTTGAAGGAGAGCCTCTTAAGACTTGTGTAATTTTGTGGGTTGAAGTTTGGTCTTTGGTTCCTATTCCACGAGAGAGCTGAGGTGATTACAGTGGGCAACACAGGCATAACACGCTGCCTGCAGCTAGCGAAAATATGAATACAGACTCTATTGCACTCCTTGCTCCTCTGTACATGGACCAAACTCCAGGGCAGACGCTTCCTCTCGGGCTAAGCCGTGGTGTGCCAGAAAGCCAGCAGAGCCTGGAGGCTGCAGCCCAGAGCAGAGGCATCTGCTTCCCAGCTGCTACTCTGTGGCAGGGCTGGAGGGGCGTTTGCAGCACAAAGGAGGAGTCTGCACTGGGCACTGCCTGCAGTTGTCCATATTGCTAAGACTGAGCAGGCTCAGTTTCAGCACAAATGGAAATCTGAGGAAATGCATAGCAGAATATATGTTGGATATTATAGTAACCAGTCAGGGGAAGTGTTTAGCAACCCCACATGTGCTTAAACTGATTGGTGTTTTACTTTTGTGGAACCTGATCTCATCTTTGTGGCAGGTCTTCTGAAGAGTGTCATCCAGGCTGTGGTAATTTCCCTTTTGGGGCTTTCTTCTTGCATGGATGCAGCTTAGGGAGAACTTCACCCCAGTCAGTGAGCTGTAGTGGGTATGTAGTAGTAGGTGCATGGGGGAACTCCTTTGCTGTGCACTTGGAATGAGGCAATGAATGTCTCTGTCTTCATGTCACTGATTATGTGTAGCTTAAGTGAAACTCTATACTGGGAACTGCAGTTAAGTATCTGGAAAATGATGTGGAGTCCTTATGTGCCACTGAGAAAAGAAGGAAAACCTTTTTTTTCCTTAGTACAAAAGCAACAAGTGACACCAATACCTGTCCGGAGGTTCTCTTACTGCATCCCTCTCCTGGTGCACTGCGGACCACAGCCTTTCACTGTGGTGCAGGCTGAACCACCTTTGTATTGTCACCTCCAGAGTCTGAAGTGTTGTGGTATGTTACAAGTCAGTCTGCAGCTGCTGTCGGCCCAGATTCCTACCCTTATTGGTAAGGCTTAGAAATGTGCCTGTCACTAATGGCAGAGGACAAGGCAATCTTGTCAAACTACTCAAGTGATGCAGTGCTGACTTTCAGTGCTGCTTTTTCATTTCACTTTAAATGTCATGATGGAGCTTCTGCCAGTCTCACTGGGAATTTTTTCGTAGTCTGAGGCACCTAAGGATCACAAAGTGCTACATGATTATTCAGTTTAAATTCTTTCTTTATTTGGCATCTCCCTTTCATTTACTTGTCTTTCATGTGCTTGGCCTTTTTACATTTCAGTTCTTTTCAGAACTTCACCCATACAATAATTCTCACCAAACCTTAGTTTTGTGGTGGTACTGTAAATCGGTTGATGTCTTTTAAGCACATTGCCTCCCTGATCTGAGTTTTCTTTGCAGCTCATAGACCGCAGCATTTTAGAAGTGTCCTGGGCTTACCACTTGCTCAGATAACTTATTTCAGAAATACGTACTAATTTGATACATTGTGATAAGGTTTGTGCCTACCATTTATCTTCATCTAATTTGCTGATGATTATATAAAGCAATGAAGTAGAAAACAATGGGGCAATTATATTGATATTAAAATGTTTTGCACTAACAGTCTTTCTCTGACTTGTGAGATTTTGTTTGTTTGTTTAGATCTGCTAGAGAAGTCTCGTGTTGTTAAGCAGCCAAGAGGTGAAAGAAACTTTCATATTTTCTATCAGATACTGTCTGGTGCATCAGAAGACTTCCTCTGTAAGTGTTGCCCTTGTGCCATTTTCAGATATGAGTCTTCTTTATATTTAATGTGCTGTTCCATGTACATCTGCTTTTGTGGGAGATGTGATGTTGATTTATTTGTCAAATTATTGGTGGGAGTGGCAGTAGTAATAACTGAAGTTAAATACATGGTTTGGTATTATCCAGGTACCTGAGTCAGAATTGGCTTTGCAATGTAAACTAAAAAAAGGAAGAAAGCTTATTCTTATTCAGAAGGCTTGTAATTAAAAGAGCCTTAAAGAAAACTTAATCCTACTAATAACAACAGTTTTTTTACAATACTGGTTCTGGGATGAAAGAGCCACTAACAAAAATGGTGTTACTAATGATATTTTTATTTGATTTATTAGGCAAACTCAAACTGGAGCGAGACTTCAGCAGATACAACTACCTGGGCCTTGATTCTGCCAAAGTGAATGGAGTGGATGATGCTGCAAATTTCAGAACAGTTAGGGTAAGATGTAACAGGGGTTGGGTGTAAAATCCCAAAGGGGTCAACATTAATGCAGAGTTCTTATGCCCTCGGTCTGGCTGTTTGTGCTGGGCTGGGAAGACCATTTCCTGAGTCATTGTCGGTGTGTTACGCACTCTTCATGCAAAGGGTATAGTGTGTTTCCACAGGGAAGCTTAGCTACAACTGGAAAATACAAAGAACCAAGTTTCTGGAGTATTCTCGTGGGTATACAAAAAAAAAAAAAAAGAGGAAAAAAGAGAGAAAAAACCCCAAGAAACAGACCCCTTGATCAGATTATGGAAATGGTTCTATTGTGTGGTTGCTTATGATGGCAGTGACTGAGCTTTGTGAACCAAGTGGTGCTGACCAAATTGAAAGAAAAACAGGGCTGGGATGGTTCTCAAGATGATTTACCATGAAGTTTTTGCTTAATTGTATTCAGCCACAAGTAGAATATAGGACCCTGTTATTCAGTGTATGAAAATTTAGATTCTAAAAGTTACTGGCTTTTAGAGCAACAGGGTGGACTGAGATGACAGCAGTACCTGTTCATTTGACTATGGAAAAATTGGGTTGGGTTATAAACTAAATAGGGTGTTTAAAAAAGAATTTATTGCATTTTAGAAACACACAAACTGAATGAATCCTAGAAGTGTACTGGACTGACATGCCAGCTTGATTGCCAGATCTTCTGTAACCTGTCTTTTATATTAAAAAACTGACCTAAGCATAATAACTGCATTGTGTTCTTTTTGTAGCAAAAGTGTTCATAAAACATTTCTAATTTATGCTAATACATAGATTTTGCAAATATGATCTGTTTAAATGTATATTCTTTTATCTCGTAATTTTATATGTCCCTTTTACAGAATGCAATGCAGATTGTTGGTTTTATGGATCATGAAACACAGTCTGTTTTTGAAGTGGTGGCAGCCGTTCTGAAATTGGGAAATATTGAATTTAAGCCTGAATCTCGTGTGAATGGCTTGGATGAAAGTAAAATCAAAGATAAAAATGGTAAGATGAGATCAGTGATGGGAGGAAAAACACCAAGTTTTCTGAAGTAATTATTAATGTTGTAGTTTCTGTAGACAAACAATATTCTTACAGATGAATTAGATTAGATTGTTTCCAAAACTCATCCACAGGCAAATATGGGTTGAATTATTTGGAATTTCAGTTGCTGTGTTTGAATGTCCCAAAATTATCCTTTTCTTTTTTTCCTACTTTATTAACACTTTCTTCTGAAATGTTAAATTATGCTTTGGGTCTCTGTAACCGGTTATTCTGTAGTGGGGCCTTTTCATTCTTTTGTAGTAGAGTGTTTCTGTCTGTAATGTCAGATGCATTTGGACATGTTTTTGCTATTGATACGTTTTGAAAGTTCATTTATTTTCATTTGAAAGTTTTCATCATGAAAAGTAGTCTGTGACAAATGGTTATTTTTGTGGAAAAGGTTTTCTTCCAAGTAGAATGTGCTTTCAAAACTAATAATTCAGTGAACACTGTTTCCTTATGCTGTGCATTATTAAAAACAAAACAACAAAACACAACTTTGCCGGGCTAGAGGGGACTGTGTTCATGGGGGACATTACTGTTGAGGAAAACCTGTTTGGCAAAAATACTGAACTATTTAAAAGCTAATAGTTTTGGGGAAGAAAAAGCAGCAATACAAAAGGATTCATTACATTTACTCTCCTTTTTTTTGTGGTAGAACTCAAGGAAATCTGCGAGTTGACAGGTATAGACCAGTCTGTGTTGGAAAGAGCTTTCAGCTTCCGGACAGTTGAAGCCAAACAAGAGAAAGTTTCAACAACACTAAATGTAGCTCAGGTAAAAAAGAGGTCCTGATTTTAAAGGAAAGAATCATTTTAAGTGTAGTTTATTCTGCATGACTAAACCATACCTACCCAAATAAAAATTATAATTAATAGGCTGCACTGAATAAAATGTAACATTAGCATAAGTGTTTTTCTCTTCCAGCAGTTTCTACATGTTCAAATATACTGGATGTTTTGTTTTTATATGTGGATTACTTCAAAAAGATGAGCGATAGGAAAATGTTGCAGGGGATGTACAAATGAAACAGTTCTGCACAAAATGCATGTTGACAGTATTGTGGCAGATTGTTTTTGTTTAGAGCAACTGGTGTAATTGCATGTGAGTTGTATGCCCCGGGCTGCTGAAAAACTTTTGCTGCCAGAATGAATTTATCTTGCTGTAATGCTGCGGAGCCAGTGTGATTGCCACCTGTGTCTC